CTGCACACGGTTCCCGTCGGGCTCGTGCTGCGAAGGGTACGTTTTCAGCGGCATCCGCCTTACCGTCGCCGTGTCCATCAGCATCAGCGCTCACCTTCGACGATGAAGGCGGCAGAGGCCCCAATTCAGCGCCACCACGCGGCCCTTCTTCCTCCTCCTCCACCTCTGCTTCCTCCTCCTCCTTTTCACCAACCACTCTTTCAGAGACGCCACCTTCAGGAGGCAGCCCAACACCACCGTCGACTTTATCATCATTGACTTCGTCTTCTTCATTTGATGAAGGCAGTGTTTCCTCATCTTGCGCCGCCGATGGCTTGCCGGGTTCCTGTGGCTGGCTTTGTTCAGTTGTTGGGGGCCGGGGCGCTGGAACTGATGACGAATTTTCCGGTGCCTGAGAGTCATCCCCACCATCATTCGTGTCAGCGGCGTCCTGGTCGGCATCAGAAGGTTTTTCCCAATCGAGTTCGTCCTTAGACTGCGACTCAGAATCAGGCTTCTCCGCATCACCATCAGTAGTGCCAGGGGAAGCCTCCCCTTTGGGGTCCGGTCTCTCAGCGGCCGGCTGTGGAAGTGCGACTGTGCTGGCATTAAGTTCCCGGATCTCCTTACCGCCAAGTGCCTCGTTGTACAGCAGGACGTTGGACACCGTCACATCGTGGCTGGTCGCTGTGCCCTCCGCCGCACTGCCACCGCCAAAGTAGAAGTGCGAGATCCGGTGCGACCTGAACAGGGCTTCCACATTCGTAGAAACGGTGCCCTCCTCATCATCATCGCTGTCGTATATATTAGCCCCGTTAATATACACATACCACTCGTTTATATTCATTTCCACCAGCACCTGATATGTTTTGTTTAGTTCCAACTCAAAATAATCGGCATCTTGTCCGGTTTTAGTGTTAGCAATTTGAAACTTCCACTTCTTTTCCCTCGTGTACGACAAGTCAAAGAGAGCAGTACCGTCCGTGTCATTCATCCTTGCACCCATCAAAGGAGTGTCCTCCTCCGGCACCGCGTGGATCGCCACCGTCGCCACAAGAGTGAACTCGTTGTTCGCAAAGTAGTACGGCTGGTTCTGCCCCTTGCTGCCCACCGGCCACTCCGCCCCCGCTGCTGCGCCTTTGAACCTCAAGCCCCACTCCGTGCTCGTCACTGTCTCACCCTTCACCGTTGCGTTCACGCCGAGGTACTCGTCCTTCCATACTTTCCCAGCATCAGTTCCATCCGTTAATGCGTTGGACAAAAAGCCAAC